GCTCATGAAAACCAGCCCCAAAGAAAAATATACCCATTTTTAGCACAAATGATATAGATAAACCCTACACCATTTAATTTCTATAAACAAACAAAAAAAAAATCTAAAAAATGATAGCTGACCCTATTGAATTTAATTTTAATTATTAAATTACTTTAATGTTCTATAGAGTTAGTTACTACTAAAAAATGCTCAAAAGAGACTAAGAGCTATCAATCCTTTTTGACTTCTTGAGGGACTGAAAAAAGTGCATATTGTAGTATTATGGACTGATATATATCATTGTTTTTTAAAGGGATCCTCTATTGATAAATGTCACTGATTATAAAAATCAGTGCTGAATTTTTACAATGGGTCTCACATTCCTAGCACCCAATACCCATACATGAATCCCAAATACATCCGTGGCTAATATAATCAAAAGGCATGGAATGCTCATCAGTCCCTACTAAAATAGAAAAACATTTTCATTATTTTGATATATTTATATTTGTTTAGTTTATTTTTTAATATTATTCATAATTTTCAATTTATCCACCATCCGTGCTGAGTTTTTATTAAAAATAGCCAAAATTTACCTCATATTTCATAAATGTCAATTTTTATAAAAACTTTCAAATATGGCAAAAAGCCCACTTAAATAGACATAAGTACCCTCAAAGTTAAAAACAATTTGCATCTAAGAGTTTAAATTGATTCAGACCATCTGCATTGTAGTTCAAAGAGAGATAGAAATGGTTCGTTGTTTGAAAGGGGGAGAAAAGGGAGGAATGACTCTCTCTCATATCACCATTCCCTTTCCCCACCCTCCTGGACCTCACTTCAGCTTCCCCTTCCCAAAAGCCGTTTTCAATTCACCAACTATAAATGAAATTCAGTTCAATTATAATAAAACAGATTGATAATTATATTACTGGGAGAAGAAAAAAATGTAGCAAAAAATAAGCATACAGAGTTTATATAACATTTTTTTTTTTTTTTTTTTTGTGTGGTCCAAATTTGTCTTTCATTAAAGAGAAGACATTAAGATGGCAGCAAGCCAAACCCAGATTCAAACACTGAACTTCCTCAGAAGAACAAGAGACCAGGATTACAGATAATTTGAGAATGGTATGGTTATTTCGTTCTTCTTCTCCTTTAAATTTTTTTTAATTCTTCAAGTAATATAATTCTCTTTCTTTGTTATTGCTGGTAAATTGAATTTCAAATTATTGAGAATAGCTTTATGGGTACTTTATTGCACAGGATTTTTTTGATGAAACAATTGTTAATTATATATTATTGATTGCTTTCGGTGTTCTTTGTGTTCTGATGCCCTCTGGTGCTAATTGATATACGTTCTTATACTCACGTATTGTAGGCTCGTAGTGCTAGAGAGAAGTTGTTGAGTTTCAACTACTTAGTTATTCTCTATTTTTTATGTTCCTGATTTTCATTTATTATAATTCTGTAGTAGTTTATCTCGTTTAATGTGGTGTTGATAAATTATATTCTAATCATGAATTCAGGCTTCATTCCTTCTTTTATTTGTTTTTAATTTTGAGGGTATTTGAGTCTATTTAAGTGAACTTTTGGCTATTTTTAAAAGCTTTTATAAAAACTGACATTTATAAAAGTAAGGGGTAAATTTTAACTATTTTTGATAAAAACTCATCCGTGCTTGTAAAAAATATTATTTTAAAAGTTTTCAAATATTTAAACATTAGCAATCCGCGCCTTTAAAACATTCATTGGTTTTTTTTTTTTTTTTGTTTTTTTTTTTGCGTTTTCAAATATTCATTGTTTTTCAAATAAATGAATTACATTCCTAATGGAAATACTTATATTCAACATTTCCAAAAATAATGGGAATACACCATATACAATAATTCCATTAAATATTTTCATAATGAAAATACAGAGTGTTGCAAGTGGTGGACCTATCTTCAGGACAATTACATTAATATTTTCATACTGAAAATAGACCAAGTATTGCAAGTGGTCAACCTTTTTAACAAGGATATACGCAGTTATGATATTAAAAACCAAAAACTTACTTGGAAAAGGGAAAAATAAAGAATTTCATTAAACTCCTCCTTGCTTGACTGGATTTGCCACAACCACTCAACTGAGTATTGGGTTTCCGCTGGCCAGATGGTAATTGTAAGGTACTCTATATATGCTAAGGTAATATAAATGAAATACAAACAGCATGTTTATAAATTGGAAACCAAACTAATTTGCATATTATCATGCATTTGAATGGTTCTCTAAGTGAGTTTTCACAGTATAACTCACCCTGGTAAGAACTTTGCAAGAATAGAGAATCTTTTAGCACCAGGTCTCCCAACTTGCTTGATTATGCAGTCGTCCTCCTGACATCCATAGAATGTGACGAATAAAGAAGGGAAAAGGACAATGATCACGTATCAGTTTACCATATAGTAAAAGGATTATTTCCCCATTGTTACAAAAGAAGTAACTTTCTGATTTGAATGAGTATGACAAATATAACAGTTAAATTTTGCATTGAAGAAACAAATGGGAATCAGTGTAGATAATCTCTTGGAGTTTCAGTCAATGATAAATCAAGATCACATAAGCATTCAAGAACCAATAACATTTTGATTAACCCAT